ACCCGTTTATCATTGGCTGCGCTGACCCATATCCCGCCTCTTTGGGCTGCCTGGGCAGTACAGGATTGGCCGTGGTGACCCGCTCATCAAACGGATCTGGGAATAACCAGAGCCCTGGGCTGCTTTGGGAATAAATGGCCCTGATACCGTGCGTTCAGCCTGTTCGGGAGAAAAAGACAAAGGATTTTCTTGGAGAGGCTGCGACTGTCTTTATGCGACAGCAGAAAGGTGAATCAGAGAGCTGTGATGTGGTTGAGGGAGAATGATGGGAAGGAATTTTACAAATGAACAGAGAAATGATGAAGCAGCCATTTAAACAGGAACAGTTAAAAGATGGAAGGAGGAGACAATAAAATGAAGAGTAACCATCCTATAAATACAGGAGTGAGTGTGTGTGTGTGTGTGTGTGTGTGTGTGTGTGTGTGTGTGTGTGTGTGTGTGTGTGTGTGTGGAGGGGTGCTGTTCTGCTTTGCAGGAGTGTGAGAAGATAATTAATGACAACAACAACAGTGTCAATATTTATGCGTCATCATAGCAGCTCTCTCCTGTGTGATCTCCTAAATACGGATCAAAACCCTATGAATGAGATTGTTTGGATCAGCTGTAAGGATCCTGGTTGATACTGGATCAGCTGTAAAGATCCTGGCTGATGGTGGATCAGCTGTAAGGATCCTGGTTGATATTGGATCAGCTGTAAGGATCCTGGCTGATACTGGATCAGCTGTAAGGATCCTGGTTGATACTGGATCAGCTGTAAAGATCCTGGCTGATGGTGGATCAGCTATAAGGATCCTGGTTGAAATTGGATCAGCTGTAAAGATCCTGGCTGATGGTGGATCAGCTATAAGGATCCTGGTTGATATTGGATCAGCTGTAAGGATCCTGGCTGATACTGGATCAGCTGTAAGGATCCTGGTTGATATTGGATCAGCTGTAAGGATCCTGGCTGATGTTGGATCAGCTGTAAGGATCCTGGCTGATGATGGATCAGCTGTAAGGATCCTGGTTAATACTGGATCAGCTGTAAGGATCCTGGTTGATACTGGATCAGCTGTAAGGATCCTGGCTGATGGTGGATCAGCTGTAAGGATCCTGGCTGATACTGGATCAGCTGTAAGGATCCTGGTTGATACTGGATCAGCTGTAAGGATCCTGGTTGATACTGGATCAGCTGTAAGGATCCTGACTGATGTTGGATCAGCTGTAAGGATCCTGGTTGATACTGGATCAGCTGTAAGGATCTTGGTTGATACTGGATCAGCTGTAAGGATCCTGGTTGATGTTGGATCAGCTGTAAGGATCCTGGCTGATGTTGGATCAGCTGTAAGGATCCTGGCTGATGTTGGATCAGCTGTAAGGATCCTGGCTGATGTTGGATCAGCTGTAAGGATCCTGGCTGATGGTGGATCAGCTGTAAGGATTCTCGCTGATGTTGGATCAGCTGTAAGGATCCTGGCTGATGGTGGATCAGCTGTAAGGATCCTGACTGATGGTGGATCAGCTGTAAGGATCCTGGCTGATGGTGGATCAGCTGTAAGGATCCTGGCTGATGTTGGATCAGCTGGGATGAACCTGTTGGAGAATAAAGTCGCCATGTTGTGTCTACATTTTAAACCTTTACCAGACAAGTTTCACCATCAGGACCGGATTCCTTAGACTTTGACCCGGAGACCCTGGTACTGGTAAAATCTAATTTGCACATCAGATTCAGTTTGCGTTTCCATGTAAATGTGTGTTTTGTCGCCGTGGACATGGTGGTATAATCGTATGCTTAATGAACCGCAGCATCTCATTACAACAGAGGCGAGAGCGTTGTGTCGTTTCATCCTGCAGCTGTTGTAATGTAGAGGTTACCGCCGGAGTGTGTGTGCCTCTGCTGGATCGTGGGCTTGCATCTGATTACTGGGTGTGTGTCGTATGTAAGTGATGCTGCTGAGTGTGTTTGTGTGTGAAAATCTTTTCTAATTGTCTTCTGAAGTGTTTTTATGTATACGTTTATTATTATTAGATGTAATGTTGTGTTTGCATCAGCAGCATCTTCTCTTCTTGTTATTTGCTCCCAGAGCTCGGTTCCACTCGAACAGAATTTTCTTAAGTCTGGATCTTCTTCTTCAGAGTAATCTGGACAAGGGGGACAAGCTGCACAAACGGTAGAACATGGAAGGGATGTTGCTGTGAAAAAGGGAACATCTGACTTATAAATCGTCTCAGTTGACGCGTATGCCGGTGGTTCCTGTGGACGTGACGTCAAACAGCTTCTCTAGCTATTGTCTTTAAGGTTCCTGCTGTCTCCCTGGGAAGTACCCACTGCTGTTAAACTGGACTCATGAGAAGTCCACTTCTCATCTTTCACTCAGCTCATCTAAACATTTAGGGTTAGGAGGAAGAAGGCATGGCGGACCTAATGAAGCCTCTTCATTGGCTCAATGTTGTTGCTCCAGACCTGCAGCAGTTCCTATGTTACGTGTGTGTGTGTGTGTGTGTGTGTGTGTGTGTGTGTGTGTGTGTGTGTGTGTGTGTGTGTGTGTGTGTGTGTGTGATCCATCTGAGAGCAAGTGGTTGGATCTTTACCTGTGTCAGGTGGATTTCGTCTTCCTCGCCTTTAGGTCAATGCTTTATTGTTAACATGTGGCGACAGAAACGTGCAGATGCGGGCTTTAACTGGATACTTCCAGTTAGCTTGTTTTCAGCTAATTACACATTTGAAAGGAGACATGCAAGCAAAAAGATTAAAAAGGACGTTAACTATAATAAAGATGTGTAAAACAGAATGAACAAGGTTTGCAGATTAATAATTTATTCTGAAAGTGGTGGTGATGTGGTGGAATTGAACATCACAGTTAGAGTGAGACAGGAGCCGAGGAACGCTTGTGTGATCTGTAACAGCTCAGGTCTGACTGTGCTGGTCGGGGTGGTGGTGGGGGTGTTTTGGGTTAGAGGGGTGGAGGACGTGGAGTGAAGAGCACCAGGAGTCAGAAGGGTGAAGGTTAACGGTGGATCAGAAACAGAAGTGATGCCGAGTGTTGGGGAGAGAAAGAAAAGGAAATCCCATTGTGTGCTGACTCTGGCCGTTTCCTGTTTGTGTGCCAGCTGTTCTTCCCTCCTTCCTGTTATACCCAGGAAGTCGCTATCACATTCCTGCACCGATCAGCTCAGTGTGTGAACGTGTCGAAGGAATTTGTACAATAGTTAGTTTTTATCTTGTTTTATCAACACAATGAACAAAGAACAGGAGTCAAACTCAGACCTGTCATAAATATTTGATCCTGTTTTCTGATTGGTGGACACTGACTGACCCTTGAATTAAAGTTGAACACAAGAATCTTAAATATTTATAATGCAAGTCAACGGGGCTAAAAAGCTATTTTCTAATTCCACTTGTTTTGTGCCATGGATTTCACATATGATGTCTGTGAATTTTAAAGACACATTTTGATACCAAGAACGTGTTAATTTTCTAACGGGGGGAACAATATTTTAGGTTTTGTGTGAAAATAAGTCCAGAACTACAAATGAGTTTCATGAAAGTGACGTCATCAAACCAGACACGGAGAAAACTGAGGGAGAAGGGCTGTAAGTTCAGCAAACTTCCCACAGGAGGAGAAAAAAACACCATAAATCTGGTCATGTGATAAGTAGCAGCTACGCTAGGGGGAGGAGATTATGTGGTGATGTCACATATGCGACGTGCTGACTTCTAGTGTGTAGTCATGCTAATTACGAACATTTACAAGCTAATAAATCATAAAGTACGTGACTGGCGTGGTCGAAACACCCATCATTACTTTTCATTGAAATTGCAGTACGACATATGTGTAGGGCGTAAGGCAGAGTGAATTAGAAAATAGCTTTTTTAGCCCCGTTGACATGCATTCATTTTTTCGTTCTTCCGGGGACCAATGATGCGGAATTGACTTAGGCTCCCTATTAACGGCTGGTTTGAGCCTCTTGCATGTAAAGGATGCTCATATATCTATTAGCTTCATGCTCATATATCTATTAGCTTCATGCTCATATATCTATTAGCTTCATGCTCACATTTCTATTAGCTTCATGCTCATATATGTATTAGCTTCATGCTCACATTTCAATTAGCTTCATGCTCATATATGTATTAGCTTCATGCTCATGTATTAGCTTTATGCTCATATATATTAGCTTCATGCTCATATATCTGTTAGCTTCATGCTCACATTTGTATTAGCTTCATGCTCATATATGTATTAGCTTCATGCTCATATATGTATTAGCTTCATGCTCATATCTATTAGCTTCATGCTCATATATCTGTTAGCTTCATGCTCATATATCTGTTAGCTTCATGCTCACATTTCTATTAGCTTCATGCTCATATATGTATTAGCTTCATGCTCATATATCTATTAGCTTCATGCTCATATATATATATTAGCTTCATGCTCATATTTGTATTAGCTTCATGCTCATATTTCTGTTAGCTTCATGTTCATATTTCTATTAGCTTCATGCACATATATGTATTCATGCTCACATATGTATTAGCTTCATGCTCATATATCTATTAGTTTCATGCTCATATATGTATTAGCTTCATACTCATATATCTATTAGCTTCCTGCTCATATATCAGCTTCATACTCATATATGTGTTCGCTTCATGCTCACATTACGTTTACAAGTTCTTAACCTTTTTAAGAGAGAATTTTTAAAATGAAAAATATTGAATAAAATAATAGTAATAAGTAAATAGAATAAAAAAATTAAAGGTACTTAATCATACAATTCAAATAGTTTGTTTTTATTTAGGATAGGAAGGCATTATGACACCAGGACTGAATAATTCTTCCTGAGTCCAAATCACCTTTCTGGCTCTATGGCAGAAGCCAGCATAAATAAATTATAAATAATAAAATATTGTGCATATTTATTAACCATAAACTTTATTAAAACTTCAGTTTGGGGGGGATCTTGATTTTTTTCTAACACTTCTTTCCTCTCTGTGTCTTTTGCTTTCTCTTCAGCGGTGGAGGAAGGTGAATCTTTGGAGTGTGGAGGAACCTGGGAAAAATCTGCTGTCCAAACAGGTTGGTGCAACGACGGCGTTCCAGGGAGATGCTGGAGTCTATCCAGCCTCCTCACGCTTTGATTACTTGGTGTAATATCAACTGCATGTGGTTCAGGGGGAAATTGGTGAATTAGAGAGGATGATTTGGTTAAAGTATTAGGAAAAAGAAAACGGGGGATTTGAGAAAAGCGAGAATGACGGTATAAAGAAAGGAGCGGGCCTCTGGAGTCTGAACGGAAAGAGATGGTGGGGAGAAAAGAGGGTTTTGTGTGATTCTTTGTGACTCTCTGTGGTTTGGAGATATCTTGGGAGGAAGTGGGTGAGATAGTCAAACTTCTCTTTTTTTATTTAGTTCTTTTCTTGGATTTTTGTTTTTCCTTATTAAAACCAGCCTCCCTATTCCTCTCCCTCCTCCATGTCTTCTGTCGTTTCCATCCTGAGATGGAAAATTAAACGTATCCTCACTCGCCCTTTTCCTCAGAGGAAAAGGAAAAGCTAAATCACCCGATCCCTGAGATTCATGGTTGAAATAAAAGTCGTTCTGCTTGTTTTTGTTTTAGAGACAGAAAATTCACAGACATTCGAACATTTTTTCTGGATGTGTTTTATTAAAATGGAACAATGACCCGCCCAGTTCATGCGTGTTTCTGGTTGTTTTAAACCGTTTGACCCAAAGAAATCAATAAAAAATATATTTTTTACTTTATTCATAATCAGAATGAAAGTCCTAAAAATGAAAAACAAACAAAAACAAAAGCAAATGTTTAAAAAAACCTAATTAAAGTTACTGGTAAATAAAAAATACTTAAAAAAGGTACCAGAGCTGAAAGGTGGCTCTTGGGTGTGTGTGTGTGTGTGTGTGTGTGTGTGTGTGGTGGGGGGGGGGGGGGGGGGGGGGGGGTCGTCCATTTGGTAGAAAATATGAACACAAATGATTTCATCCATATTCTGAAACCCTTTAAAAGAAACCAGAATCATTCATTAATTGTTGCAAAGTTAAAATTTTTAAACCTTTCTAATTTTGTGTGAGTGTTTAGTGAAGTCCTCGTTAAGCTCGTTAACTGTTTCCAGGTGACGGAGATGCCAGCCAGGAAAGCTCCTGGATAAATCCACTTCCTGGTTTCTGTCTCCTACAAATATCAGCTGAATTAGCTGAGAACGGCTGAAGGAACAGTGTGTGTGTTTTTTGTCTTTAACTGTAGTTTTTCTGCTCTGGTTTCCAGCCAATCAGAGAGCAGTTAAACACTTCCTCTGACTGCATCCCTGCAGGGAAATAAGATCCTGCTGAATGTGGTAAATATGCAGTTATCTCTTTGCCCTGTCTTTCGTTAAGCTCTGCTGGGATGTGAGGAACGGGAACTATCACTCCTGGGGTGTGTATGACGTGCTGATCCCCCCCCACCCCACCCCTTATAACTCTGCTCCAGGGGCGAGCAAGCAGCCCTGAGTCTGAGTTTGTATGTGAGCGTTTTCAGGGGGGTGCTGACTTTGGTCCTGCGTGGCTCACTAGAACTGCTGTGTGTGTCGGTTCCTGCAGGAAGCTGGACTCCCATGACACACACACACACACACACACACACACACACACACACACACACACACACACACACACACACACACACACACACACACACACACACACACACACACCTCGCTGTCCCAAATTCCTGAATCAACTCAAACACTTTTTTTATTTTTACCGTTTATCTCCCAGCATCCTCTGCTGTAAACGCTGCGTTTGTCACTCCGTCTCCAGGTTTGTGTGTGTGTGTGTGCATTACCACCGGATGTTTGTCCATCACCGATCAACATGGCCGCCCCCAGCTAAGCAGCATTAGCGAACAGAAACACATCTGCTTCTGGAGGAGCGACTTTGTGGAGTTGAGTGGCGGGCCACAGCGGTTCGGAGGCTCTAATTGGCTCCTCTCTTGGCTTAAAACTTTATGGACCTCGTGTACATTCCTCCCAGGAAAACAAGGATGTCACCTCCATCTCACATGTTCTGATTTGCGTGTGAGACAAGTGTGGACAGAGAACAGCAGGAGCAAGTTTATCCCTCCCACTTGACTTTCCCGATCATTCCTGGATGGGATGAAGGAAAATGAATAAACTTCCACCTCTCCCTCGCCCCCTCTCTCTTTGTCTTTTACTTTCTCTGGAAAACCTGTGTTGGGTTTGGAAAGGCCCAGAGGGCAGAAGCTGGAGGGAGTGGGATGGAGCCTGGAGGGAATGTGCACCACCTCCTACTCCTCTTCTTCCTTCTGCTCCTGGTCTTTCTGGCCTAGATTTCAGGCCATGGAGGCCAAAGGAGCTTCAAGCTCCCTCTCAGCAACGTTTAGAAGAAACGTGGAACAATCTTCAGCAGGGACAGAATTGTGTGTGGACACTACTCGTGTCCGAGTGTTCAGTCGGTGAGTCACGGTGGAAAAGGTTTGTCTCCGGGCTGAAACCGAGACCGACAGGATAATTTCTGGTGTGTGTGTTTGTGTGTGTGTGTGTGTGTGGTGTCACAGACCTCCAGCATGTAGTCTGCACCTCTCACATAACACATCAGCACCAGGGGAGCGTGCTCCAGCATTTAGTTTACACCACCGAGGAGGATTTCTAAAAATATCAGACGCAGATTTAGTTTTTAGGTTGTTTCTGTTCAAGGTTGCTTTGATCTTGACCTGCTTGTTTGATGTTGGTACAAATTCAGCAATAGAAAAAAAAATCAAAAAATCAAATATGATAACCCCCCCCCCCCCCCCCCTTCCCTAAGCAATCTTATAAAACCCAAAACACAGTAGGTTCAAGGATTGTGGCAAATAAATTTCAATAACTAATAAATCGATGTACTAATGAACAAAGATCTAAGAATATTTATTCGTTAAAACTGATTTTGTTTGTTTTACTGATTTTTTTTATTTTGTTGTTTCTTATATTTTCTACTTTTTAAGGAGCTTCTGTATTTCACTGCGAATCGAACCATAATAATGATTATAATTAAAACTCAAAATATGTTTTCTTATACATGAATAAAAAAAGTAGTATTAATAGTTGTGTGTTTGATCCATAACTAACGATGCACCACAGAATCAGCCTTGTTGTGTGAGATCAGCTCGATCTAAATTTGGTCCATTTCTCCCATAAATATGGACTGCTGTAGGAAAGGTCCGGGGGTGGGGGGGTGAGCACCACTGGCGTAGGGTCAAGTTCATTTTCTGAAAATATGTATTTTCTAAGGAAAGTAGTTATTTTAGGATGATTAGTTGATGCTCTATCACTTTTACACAAAGCAGCAATGAATGAAAAAACATGTCAAATAACCGTTTGTTTGGAAGTTGTTAATAAAGTTTATTTTAGCGACCGGCATCCCGGCATGCGTTGCGATCGATGACGCAATGCTCCCTGTTTCAGTTAACCAATTATTTGCACCCTTGTGTACCACGCACTCGAAGCCTTAGTGCACACTTTCTCCAAGTGTACTTTGCTGAAGACCGCAGGGCGCAGCACGAGTAATGGGATTGGACCCATGTGACAAGCAAGCAGAAACA